TTTGATGCTAAAGATATCATGATGGAAGATTATCTGCAAAGGGAAAAACAATGAATGTACTTCTATGACATATCTTTTCATAGGCAGTAAAAAAATTAAACTCAAATGCTGCGTAAAAGTCAGTAAGGATGTGATGCGATTCAAGGGAAATACCCTATTCACAACAATGCCATTGATATTGCCGCCGTAAACGATCACGACGTCCCATAAGTGTAGTGTATTGATCATCTAATCAAGATGCGTTACAATGCCATTATTATGCATTATTTATCTTCAAAAAACGAGTGCCTTGTTTGAAATTTATTTTTTTTTTTCACAAAAAACGAACGACACTTGTATCAAACAAGTTTTTGATCATTTTTTGGGGGGTGCGGGGCGTGTGGGAGAGGGGATGCGTTTAGTGAATGTCACCTTATCTTGTTGGGCTGTCATAACATTTTAAAATAATAAAATAATATAATTAATAAAACAATATACTAAAATAAGTTTTGCACATTTGACTTAAACGTTATACTGCTATTATAATGAATTAAGACATTTGTCACAATTAAATGGTTGAAACAAACATAACAAACATATTTATGTTGAGAGGGTAGTCGAAGGATAATTAAACGTTGGTGAACAAACAATGCAATATGTTATTTTCTCAATGACAATGTTTCATAGATAGTTCTGGTATAAGGTAGAGAAATCTATTCATGTTGGTTACCATGAAAGTCAACAATTAAAAAGATTTAGAATCATGTGACCCTATTATATATACAAATACTGAATTGTGTCTGATATATTGTACAGAGCATTACGGTGTTCGGGTGACCGTGAATTGTAATTTACTTGAATATGAAAGCGGTTGCTATTTGAATCGCTGCCGTTAAAATCCTTTTGTATTTATACAATCGTGGCAAATTGAAACGGTTATGATATTGAACAGCACAGCTATAACAAAGAAACTACCAAATAATTACATTGGCGTATCTGTTTATAATATTAAAATGATTTATATTAAATTTGAAGGTTAAAGTATTTCCTTATACACAAAAAGAACTAAAATTTGAGCAAACAAACATCATATTTTTATTTCATTTAATGAAAAGGAAAAACATATGTTTAAACATTATTCTTCAAAGCATTTGTTTCTTTGTTGGATTAATTGGTTTTTATGTCACACCGATGCATTGAAGGTTATATGGCGACGTTCCAGTTTTACTAGTGTAAGGAAACGAACGGGCGCCTGAGTAGAACCCCTGACGTTCACTAAGCTAGCTGGATAGCTTCCTCACATGAACAAATCCAATGCCCGTGACGGGATTCGAACCAACAGTGGTGAGGGACAAGCGGTTCAAAGCATTTTTTTAAGTCAACTTTATTTGTAAGTCAATGAAATAAATAAATTATGTATTTTTCGGAAGTGTTGAAATTTTCGAGTGAAATATGGAATATATTTTCACAAAATATGATAAAATTCCATATTTTTCATACGCCGGAACAGCGAGTAAAAATATATTGAATTGTATCGTGTTGAGATCAAATATGTTCCATAGAATTAACACTAAAACAAAAAGAATAACATTTTTATTTGAAAAGTAAAAAATAATGAAAGGAAAAATCTGAAGCTATAGAATGTCAGGGGAAAAACATCTGAAAGTATCCCTAAAGACAAATATGAATTTTGAAAACGCCCTTTCATATTTATCGCTCACATTTCTTTAACAAATAGAAAGTATATTTGACTGATGTAGAATGAGTAGAATTTAATAATCTGATTGTATTGACCTGTAAAGTTTTGAATACATTAAAACACTTATTGAAATATTCGATTACATTACGGTTCTGTCTGTGTAGTTTACAAAAATAAATATGGAGTATTTAACCTACGTTTTGAAAAGTTAGAGAATATTAATGTTAAAGTCGACAATAGCGATAGCTGGTTAAATAATTGCCTAATACATGATATATATATATATATATATATATATATATATATATATATATATATATATATATATATATATATATATATATATATATATATATATATATATACTCAAACTTGATGAAATAGTGGGTCCAAGTGGCATCACTACTTATTGGGTCCACCCATTTCCAGTAACTCTAGAGACAAACGAGATGGTGTAGTTTTTAAAGGTTACTCCCCTTATACTATATATAGCTTCAGATTCACGATAACTAAATGCAAAAACTATATATCGCACATTGTAACATTTTACACCAGACCTCGTATCTGGGTCTTTATGACCCAACTATTTATATGTTTATACATGTATATATAACGTAATGACCCAACAGTTTCTTATTCATATATTTCATTTTTTACACAAATTTGATAAAAAAGTGGGTCCAAGTGGCATCACTACTTATTGGGTCCACCTATTTCCAGCAACTCTAGAGACAAACGAGATGATGCAGTTTATAAAGGTTACCCCTCTGATATAGTGCGTTCCAATTCACCTAGGCGGGCGGAGCTTCGTCTCAGTCGATCGCATTCATTTTACAGGGTTAACAGTTAGCTGACAATATTCAATGCACGTATCTGGTATATTACGAAAATCTACGATTGTATAGATTAACCTATTTTTCGGATTGTCCTCATTTACATGGATCAGAGATTAACTCCATCCGCCCAGGTGAATTGGAACGTACTAATCTATATATAGCAACTAAATACATAAACTTTATATCGCACATTATAACATTTTACACAAGACCTCGTATCTGGGTCGCTATCTGTTCTAGTGGCATCACTACTTATTGGGTCTACCTATTTCCAGCAAATCTAGAGACAAAGCAGACAGTGTAATTTGTTTGCATACTTTATCACCCTTTGCAACAATGTTACAGTTCTTGAACAGTGTAGTTTCTTTAACCATCGTTCTTTGAAATAACAAACACAAGACCACTCTCCTACGTGCCCACTACCAAAAGTTTTTTGTTTAAGTTACCCTCTCCACCCTTTCCACCCCTCATACTACCGGTATATAGCTTCAGTTTCAAGATGACTGGAGTTTTATACTGGACATCGCTTTTTGCACAAGACCTAGTATATGGGTTTCCAAGACCCAACATATTATGACCCAATAACTTGTGTTTAAATATATATATATATTTAATACTGCAAATAAATTTCACAAAATTTCATTGGTCAAGAGCTAGGATATATGGTGCCATATACACCGTGTGCAGACGGTATATATGAAAGCTGGACGATTTTGATTGGATGGGTAACCGCTTCAGCGGGAAAAACAAAATGGCGGACGCTTCTCGATTCGCAAATTAAATCAACGGATTGTTCTAATTTGAACAAATATTGTTATTAACTGAATATATTTTATACCTAATGTAATCATGAACGTATTCTGACAACCGCACATTTATAAAATTTAGCCTGTATTGTTTTAATTCCCATCATCGTTTTGGCTAACGTCGTCATCTGGATATAACGTCATACCGATATATACAAAGGGCATGACGTCATCTTCGCACGTGACGCCAAATGGCGGAAATATATCAACGTTTTTTTTTTGTAAATATAAATTAATAAATATCAACAATACCGGATTTGCAGTATTATAAATTCGTTATATATGTTCTTGAAGAAATATATGGTGGACATATAGCCTGCTGAGATCTATATAACCCTTGGCTATCGCCTCGGGTTATATAAATCAGTCAGGCTATATTCCACCATATATCCCGTAAAGAACCTCTATAACTAATAATATATGTATCAGAAGTCTTAGTATATGGGTCCCTGGGACTCAACATAATATGACCCAATTATTTGAGTTTATATATACATATGTATATTTAACATAATGACCCAACAGTTTCTTATCCATATATTCAGAGTATATCTTAGTCTATTCTGCTTATTAGGTTACTCCAAACACAGCAATTAAAATATATTTGTACCTGAAATTATGTGCCCCTCTATTCTGGTTAATATAGACTGATAAAAATTTGTCTGAAGATAGTGCTTCAACAGCATGGTAAACTTGCAGCACAGTAGATACCTCGCAACACTGAGAATCATGGGTTGCCATCATAAGTCATAAGTAATTAGGATTTTGAGTATGGCAACAGTAAATCCATTGAAGTTTAGTTGAAAATGCTTTCTCACAAACAGACTTGATTGGTAGCAGGGCCTGAACCCATGATTCTCTAGCAGTGAATGGCCAGTGCTTCAAATCGGGGATTCTTATCCAATGGATCACCGAGTGGTCCCCAGAACAAGAGAATGAATGGCAAAAGGGAAAACAACAACAATCTTTCAGAACAAATTTATCCAGAAAAAAAAGCATAGAAACATTCACAATCAGAGACATATTAACTCAAAGTATTCAATACTAATCTGTTTCAGGTTATATGTAAGCTTTCAGTTTCAGACAGATCAGCTGGTTATAAAAGCTAACAAGACTTTCCGTTCAATAAATGCCTATGCCCCCATAGGCAGCTTTGTCAATAAAGTTTACATGCAGATGAAGTTGTAAAGCTCCAGGATATATACTGATGCTAAAAGGAAACTGTGCACTTTGATTTTACGGGTTAATATTCACAAATCGTTGGTGTAGAAACGTAAATTTAGTATCGATACTTAGCTTATTTTCTTAGCTAAAAGGTGGCATGATTTTTGAAAAGGTTTAACAGCAAAACAGTAAATGAGCTGTTTTTACAAATGATGTAAATAAAGTTTATTTAACAGCAAGAGTGATGTAATCAACATGGACTGTTGTAAATGATCGTATAAACAAAGAGGATGTTGATTTCTTTCATCAAACAAACATTCTGACCAAATATTATGAAAATTGGATTAAAAATTCAGCCTCAATTGTATACACAAGGTTATTTTACGATTTGACCTAGTTTTTGACCCCAGATGACCCACATAAAATCAGAAATTCTGAATAAATCTGTCTTATTTAAACAGTCAAAGAAAGAAATATTGTTTTGAAAACTGCAGTCCCTTTTAACAAGTCGCCCAATTAATCTCATTTCTTAAAACAAGAGCTGTCAGAAGGACAGCGCGCTCGACTTTTTTAGTGCTTGCCTATAAAACAAAACTTTGACAGTTAAGGGCACACAAGACTTTAACTAGGAATTTCTAAGTACAAATCAAGAAACATTTTCACAGAGTTATCTTCTCTTGCTTACAGATAGGTCTCATGATGGCACATAAGAACTCCAACTTCCAAAGTAATATCTCAAATGGTTAAGTCAACAAGTGGACAAGAATGAAAATTTTAACTGAGTTTCTAAGTCAAAAAGGGCCATAATTCAAATAAAATCCTTAACAGAATTACCTTCTCCTGCCCATGTTTTGGGACCATGATGGTAAACAAGTATTCCAACTTTCAATTTAATATCTCAACCAGTTCAGTCAAAAAGTTGACTGGTACAAAAAAGTTAACCAAGATTCTAAGTCGATAAAAGGCCTTAATTTTTAAAACAAATCCCTGACAGAGTTACCTTCTCTTGCGTACAGATGGGGGTAATGATGTGAAATAGCATTAAAAGTTTCAAAGCAAGCTCAAAGGGTTAAGGCAATAAGTGGATTTTACCCATATTCAATGTATTGTCTAAGTAAACAAGAGCTGTCCGTAAGACAGCGCGCTCGACTTTTTTATTGCTTGCCAATAAAAAAAGTTTTTGCAGTAAAAGGCAATACAAGAATCTCTGTATTTTTAAAGTGAACAATGGCCATGAGCATTAAGATATTTAGTGAAGAATTATTTTACTGAATTGTGTGATACCCTTGAACACTGCAGCAAAGTTTGAAATGTTTAAGTCAAAAGAGGGCTGGTAAGAAAGAAAAAAAAACTGAGTTGAGCCTTAAATAAATTTAATTCTAAGTCGATAAAAGGCCTTAATTTTTAAAACAAATCCTTGACAGAGTTACCTTCTCTTGCGTACAGATGGGGGTAATGATGTGAAATAGCATTAAAAGTTTCAAAGCAATATCTCAAAGGGTTAAGGCAATAAGTGGATTTTACCCATATTCAATGTATTTTCTAAGTCAAAAAGGGGCATAATTCTGTCAAAAACCTTGACAGAGTTATGTCCTCTTGTCTGTTGATGAAGGTCGTGATGGTAAACAAGTATGGTCAGTTTCAAAGCAATACCTCCAATGGTTTTGAAATAAAGTGAGGTGGTACAAAAAACTTAACCAAGCTCAATACACTTTCTAAGTCAAAAAAGGGCCATAATTCTGTCAAAAACCTTGACAGAGTTATGTACTCTTGTCTGTAGATGGAGGTTATGATGGTGAACAAGTATGGTAAGTTTCAAAGCCATACTTGTAATACTTCTGAAATAAAGTGGGGTGGTACGAAAAACTTAACCAAGGTGTGACGCCAACGCCGACGCCGGGGCGAGTAGGATAGCTCCCCTTTTCATAGAAAAGTCGAGCTAAAAAGGGGCATAATTCTGTCAAAAACCTTGACAGAGTTATGTCCTCTTGTCTATTGACGAAGGTCGTGATGGTAGGCAAGTATGTTAGTTTCAAAGCAATACCTCCAATGGTTTTGAAATAGAGTGAGGTGGTACAAAAAACTTAACCAAGCTCAATACACTTTTTAAGTAAAAAAAGGGCCATTAATTCTGTCAAAAACCTTGACAGAGTTATGTACTCTTGTCTGTCGATGGAGGTTATGATGGTGAACAAGTATGGTAAGTTTCAAAGCCATACCTCTAATACTTCTGAAATAAAGTGGGGTGGTACGAAAAACTTAACCAAGGTGTGACGCCAACGCCAACACCGAGGTGAGTAGGATAGCTCCCCTTTTCATAGAAAAGTCGAGCTAAAAACTGCCAACCTTTTCATGCCCATATTTAGTTATACAGAGTTTACACGTTAGTTTACATTCCTGTGTAACCTTTTAAACCAAATATAGCACTTTACACCTGATGAATCTTCTGTATAATGGAACTATGAAGAGATTTTTAACATTTGTAAACATCAGAAATAAGCATAATATATCCTTAAGTGTAACCCAAAGAAGATTATGAATAAAATCGACATTTCCCAACGTCCTTCACTACGTGCATAGAAAATAAATACATGTGAATAAAGATTTATACCATTTTGACTACGCATACCGGCATTCTCTACAGGTAGAATATGTTCAATGCAGGTTCAATGAAACAAATATGAAACTCGTGTAAAACGTTCTACTTATCGATTTTAGGTTAAGGGAGCGCTGATATAATGATATAGCATAATCTTGTCAATTTTTATGTTTGTACTGGAACTGCTTCTCTTCATGCAAAATAAAGAGCTATTTTGTAACCTCATATCTAACATAATTCTATATTTAGAACACAACAAGATAACCGTGATTGCATGTGACAAACTGAACTTTGATGTATGTAACAAGTAATTTCTTGTGAATTTACATTTGAAAAAGATTTCAAAATCAATGTGATTTCTGTACAGAAACTACTCGCTTACCAGTAATTGTTAAAATACTTTGCTTAAAAAAATAATTAATTAAAAAAACAACAATAAATGCTAACTGAAAGATGGCTGGATTCAATGTTTAAATTATTATTTAAAAGAAGTCTTTGCTACTTGATCCAATATTGCTGTCAATTACAATAAGTATTTTGTCTTTTGCTATAACTCTCTTGACTTCCCCATCATTCATTCTTTCTAACATTGGCATTATGGCATGATCATCATTTTCAAGTAGAGAACTATACAGCAATGTACGAGAATTGCACAAAAAGTTACCGTCACTCCCATTTCGAAGTTTTCTAACTTTACAGTTGCTGGCATGATGCCACAATAGTCTTTTTTGGCAAAACCCTTTACAATATTCACAAGGGTAGTAATCCTCTATAGAGTGTTTTGACTTGTCTGGACTCTCCCGTCCCATTGTGAATAGGGTACCTTTATTTAACTTCAAAACCTCCACATTATGCTTGTAATTACCCTCATTCACAAGAGCTGAAAACTCTGCAGCTCGCTCTTCAGATCGCTTTGGCAACAGTCTAATTTTGAGAATTTCAGCTTGCTCTTTATGCGTAAGCAAATGTCTAGTAATTTTAGAATGTATCATTTTCTTGCAGAAAGTACATGAATTTAATTTGTCATACTTTTTCTTGTGTCCTGATCGTGGAAATCCCTTTTGCTGCAGTTTTGCTGGAAGAAAACAATTTAAACATTAACCATCTTATACCTCAGTAAACTAAATATACACTGTACATACTACTGAAATCAGAGACATCATTTTAAGATACATTCTTGAACTTAACCATGTTATCTCTCAATCAAATGTGGGCAATTACCGAACTCAAAATAACGTAATTTGTTAGTAAATAAGCAGTGCTTTATCTACCATCAACCCTTTGGAGAATCAGTATAAGATGTTCTTTATCCTGAATAACCTACTGGTTTATTATGTTCATGTAGAGTTTTAAACCTTATTTAAACGTAATATTAGTCATATCTGAAGCTCTTTGACGCTCTTTGGTTTCTTAAAATTACACAACAACTTGATGTTTGTAAATACTCAACATGTAAGAACTAGAAATGAGTCCAAAGGAAAAAGATGCCCCCACTTACACGTCTTGAAATGTATATACATTTACATAAGAACAGGATATAGTCATAAACACAATGTAGTACACAATGCATACTGTTAACTACGACAAACCATCATGTATAATGTTCTTCTGACTGATCAATTTTATATTGTCTGAAAGTGAAAACAGTATGAAACTGAGCATATATATATATTTTTATACTAGTTTAAGCTGAAACCCTGTTGATTGTTGGGACTTTCTATTGTTTCCAAAGACCCAGTTATTGACCAGAACCCAATTATTGAACAAAAGAATTGGACCCACTAATTGACTTGCTTATGGAATGAATGGAATTTAGACCAGACATTCCACCTTACTTAAAATATGGATTATTAATAAGTCAAGGGCATTAACTTAAAATATGGATTTTTAATAAGTCAAGGGCATTAACTCTCCCAATACCGAAAAAACTGACAAGCAAAACCCAAGCTGCACACCTTTTAATGCTGAGTAACATTTATGTAATGTTTCATCCCTCTTACTCAAACAATTTTGTAGCTACAAATGTACAAGTTGAAAATTGCCAATTTTGACTAAGTCAAAGGGCAATAACTCTGCAATACTGAATAAATCCACAAACAAATAAAGGTGCACAACTTCATATGCTGACAAGCTTTCCTGCTAAGTTTCATGATCTTAGCTCATATACTCTTGGAGCTATGCATGACAACTTTTGGTGCACAATTTTGACTAAGTCAAGGGCAATAACTCTGCCAAAAATGTATGAATGAACAAGCAACACCCCTGGTGCACAACTTCATATACTTGCTTATATTCCTGTACAGTTTAATAACTCAAGCATTTCTGGAGCTACAAATGACAAAAGTTGAATATTGTCAATATGACTAAGTAAAGGGCAATAACTCTGCCAATATTGAGTAAATCTACAAGTTAAGCTTCATACGCTGACAAGCATTTCTGTAAAGTTTTATGATCTTAGCTCATATACCTTTGGAGCTATAAGGGTCGGACTGACGGACAAGGGTAAATCTATATGCCTCCTCTCAGAGGGAGCATAAAAATCACCAAAGGGAATTGTACAATCAGGAGCTTGATCCATTTACCCTGTTGCAACTTCCTAATGCAAAGGGCTGAAATGCTTGCCCCCTTCATCAACATATTAAAGACTGGAAAAAGAATAAAAGGTTTTACCATCATCACTCTTGAAAGTACTAGGTTTCACATCCCCTTCATCTGACTCAGACTGCGTTATTTCTATTTCACTTCTTTGTCTTGTTACTGATTGGAGCTTGGCCCTTACACTAATATCTACATCAAGAAAACAAATTGAAACTGTTATTTCTCTATCTGCCTGTTTGTAACACTTAACAAATATTCAAAGACTATGATTCAGTAATTTAAATTAAGATGTTACATAGTCTATACACTAAAACAGTAACAAGAGCTGTCGGAGGACAGCCACGCTTGACTATTTTAAAGCCTTGTCAAAAGGGTGTTTTATTGAGTATAGAAATGCCTAAGCTATATGAATACATAAAATTGTTCCAAAATGGCACAAACAACATGTCATTTGCATATACAAAACAGCCGCACAAATGTTTAAAATATTTGATGCTGAAATACAACAAGAGCGATCAGTAATCACATGTGTCGCCTCATGATGGCCAATTTCATGTTAGGACAAATTTTGTGACAGACGGACAGACAGACGGACAGTGCACAACTAGACCTTGGTACTGATCATTCCTGTAAAGTTTGGATAAAATTGCACCAGTAGTTTATGAGGAGTAGTCCGGACAAGCTTTTGCGTATCTGGCAACACACAGAAAAAAACACCTTTTGATCAAAGGGCCATAACTCAGCCAAAAATCATTCAACCGGAAAACCCGTGCAATATGCGCAAGGACTTGAGCTACAGATCAATCTTGTAAAGTTTCATTGAAATTGCATTAGTGGTATAAGAGAAGTAGTCCGGGCAAACTTTAAAAATAAAAATTATTAAAGGGCCATAACTCAAACAAAAATCATTGAACCGGAAAATGCTGACAATATGCACAACTAGACTTGGTACTGATCATTCCTGTAAAGTTTGGATGAAATTGCACCTGTAGTTTATGAGGAGTAGTCCGGACAAGCTTTTGTGTATCTGGCAACACACACAGAAAAAAGAAACCTTTTTATCAAAGGGCCATAACTCGGCCAAAAATCATTCAACCGGAAAACCCTTGCAATATGCGCAAGGACTTGAGCTACAGATCAATCCTGTAAAGTTTCATTGAAATTGCATTAGTGGTATAAGAGAAGTAGTCCGGACAAACTTTAAAATTAAAAATTATTAAAGGGCCATAACTCAAACAAAAATCGTTGAACCGGAAAATGCTGACAATATGCACAACTAGACTTGGTACTGATCATTCCTGTAAAGTTTGGATGAAATTGCACCAGTAGTTTATGAGGAGAAGTCCGGACAAGTTTTGTGACGGACGCACGGACAGACAGACAGACAGACAGACAGACAGACAGACGGACAGACAGACGACGGAGAAGTGATCCCTATATGTCGCCACTACTCCGTAGAGGCGACACAAAAAATTGTTCTTCTTTAGTCTTTTATACATACAGTTATGGAGATACCAGCTTACACGCAAAAACTTTAGCAATAATTTGTAAGTCAGAAAAGGGGCATAAATCTGTTAAAAAGGAAATTAAGAGTTATGGGACCTGTGTCCATCATCTTAGATAATCACTGCGAACAAGTGTGTGAAGTTTCAATCCATTC